AGTAGTGAGTGAGTCCAATAAGAATACCTCATAAATGTTTCAGATATTAGAGAGAGAAAAAAAACAACTAGAAACAAATATATTGAATCACTTAATTTTTTTTGAAAACTTTAATTGCGATTCACGAAATGATGGTCTTAAACATTAAACTCTGTGCTATTCCTTAGAAAATCTATTCAACGGTACTTATTTTACCAATACTCTTGATATTATCTACTGTGAAGTGATAATAAAAAACTATAAACAACATTTTCATGTTGGCTTTTTTTTAGATTAAAAACGTTTAGATCATTTCATTGGTGAATACAATACTAATCATACACTTGTTTTCTATTTCAAACAGTCTGCTATATTGTATAAATTGACTGGTCCCCAATTTTCTCGACTCCTATTATCGCAGTTTTCTCCTTGAATCTGTCCATGTATTCCTCCACAAACCCAACTTAGCAAATTACAATATTAAATTAATTAGTATTTTAATTTTTAGGACAACAAACTTGTGTCAGTTTTTAATTGGAAGTAGTACGTTCTTGTAAATAAAAAAACGGTGGTAAAGTGAACGTCAGGTGGCTATAAATAATACTTGAGCCGTTATAAATTTGAATTCGTTTAAGTTTTAAGACATACATCTCGAATCGCCTAACTGATAAGTGGTTAATTTCCAGATTTCAATTTGTTTGATTGCTATCTACTTTTTAACTATTATCCTTTATCTGTATGATAACAGTAATATTATGGTTCTCGACTTCTATTAGAAGTGTAGATGCAGTTGTTACTTTCCGGTTTCTTTTGTCGTGTAAGTGTGCTTCTTCGTGAGTTACACGAAAAAATAACTAAATTAGTAGTGGTCTTAGCAGCGTGATAGTGAATTGGTGGATTCCAAGGGACAGCTGCTTTTGGTTAGTCATACACCTCGTTTTTGTGAGTTCCTGATGTTTCTACTATATACTTTGAAGACTTTAGCTCTGACATTAATCCATATGATAAGGTAGGGTGTGGTATTATTATGGCCGACCTTTTCTGAACCTCTCCTTTTGTAGTCAGAGAAGAAAACAGATGTTGGTTGTCTGAAAGGAACAGTTTACTTCTATCATAACTTAGTACAATTTCACCCTCGGACCTTTAGTGCTACTTTTAGTTTCACCGTTCTCCGTCCGACCTGCCTGTCATGTTAGGATCCAAAGGAGCTCATTTAGCTTGACTGGGTCATCCTGATCATCAAACCAGACCACCACATCCAGGTAGCAGGTATGATTGAAGGAATATGGTTAAGTTATCTAGCATATATATATATATATATATATATATATATATATATTTCTTCCTTTAGTTAACTAGTTTTCTCTTATTATTCTCTTCTACCCCATTTCTTCACTTTAATTATCAGTTATTATAGCCAGTCATTACACAAACATCATTTTTGAACATAAATATTTACCTATTGTAGTTTCAAATTATAATAGAAAGGGGTAGAGTGAATGTAACTGCAGCATTTGCATATATATATGTCAAATAATTAAATGATTTATCAGTCTCATTTTCATTTATGTATATATATGTATATGTAGATAAAATGGTCTTAGCACTGATTGCCGCCTGTTCTTTCGTCCATAATTACACTTCACTTAAATCATGTGATATTATATGTTGTTTCAATATCCGGTAATCGTTTTTTACTGAGTTGTACTTTCATTTGCCTTATAGTTGACACTACATTAAAGTATGGTTTGGCTATTGACAAATGACATTTGTTATGTTTTATCTCTTTTTCTTCTACTAGTCTGTGTTTATCAGTAATTTGTTTCAATTTGATCCACTCTATGATCATGCTCTCGTTCAAAACAAATATAAAGTTTTTCTTGTCAAACATCTATTTTTTTGGTTGTATATATACTTGTCTATCCTAGAGCTCAGGTTGTTGGCTTTTTATTTCGATATATATATATATATATATATATATATATATATATATATATATATATATATATATATATATATATATATATATATAAACATCCTGACTAGAAGTCAGTTATACATTTGTAATATACTTTCAAAATGTTACTGAATTTTCTTCTTGTAAATGTATAGTGCAGGGACAGGGTCGATATATTGGATTGGTTTCAATGTGTTTGTTGACTGACCTGAGTGCCAAGCTTCAAAAAATATTCTGTTGTTTTTAGAATTGCCTCTATCCAATATCTCAACATTTTTCCAGTCGAATATGTGTCCACAGTTTCCATATGCATTGATATAAGCGAAGATATGTCATGGTGTTTGACAGATAATTGATGTTTGTGTAGATGAAGATGAAGGGGGCATGTACTTTGTCCGATTTAGTGTCTTTTGCAGTTAGAACAGTTTATTTGGTAGATAATGTTCGGTTTTTTCTTTTGCCATTTTGTCCTTTGGTTTGCTTGTAAAATCACTTTAATCAATCCTAACCTTAAATCTAATTTTTACCCTGATTACACAATCCTAACTTAAAAACAATGTGAGGACTTGAGAAAACTTTGTTAAATGGATAATTGAGATCCATATAAGGACGTGGTTTTGTTGTCGTTATCCGATTTAATGACAGGGTAACCTGTGTTGAAGACTTTAATAGCCGTATTAAATATGTACACCCCTTGTTACACTTGGTAATATTATTGTTCTCTTTTCCACAAACTATCTACTTAGATTGTTTTCTGACTGACTAAGAACTAGATGAAAATTTCTCATAGTTGTTTTAAGTTCGTTTTTTATTTACTATAATTTTTAATTGGATAGGTGTTACGTCCTTAATCTGTCTACCCAATAATATACAGTAGAGAACCTGTGTCGATCCGGATTAAGGCCTTGACACGGTAAGATAACTAGCTTAACCTTAAGGCTAGAACGCGTGGGTCCGAATTGCAACTGTTTTGGGTCTGTCACCTGATTGGTTGGCAGGTGAGAGAGAGAGAAGTAGAGTCAACTGGAATACTACTCAACTTATTCAGACTGGTGCAAAAAGATACATGACTAACGTGGCCACAACGCACAAACAATTAGAAAAATACAATTATACCCAGACTGGGCATTGGGGTAGAAAAATAGAGTACCAAAGGTTACGTCTAAATTACGATAGCTTTGGAACAGAAAAGGGTATGGCAGTTAATCATACATCAAACGAAGGCTTATAGTTTATTGAATAAACTATGAACAAAACTAAGTGTTAGGATTTTACAAAGTTTAAATTAAGTGAAATAAAGTCCTCAATAAACAGCTTCCTTTGTTTGTCATAGCTTCTTTGTTTCTTTGCTCACATCAATAGGAGACTTATTGTCACCCAGCCGCCTTCACACTATTTGTTAAACTATTGGTTTCTTAAGACTCAATATCTAAGTATGCTTCTTTGACGAAGTCATTTTTGTATCTTTAAATATTTATCCACTAGTTATTTTACCAATATGCAGTTTTTCCCCCATACTCATGGAAACCTTCATTTATCTACATATTTGTGTTTTCATTTTTAACCGTTCAGGCTGTCTGCTAGTTTCCACAGTTGTTAATTGCTTCAAAATTAAATACGTATGTTTCGCTTAATTTGTTAGAGTCATCAATGAATAGAAACCTTTGAAGGTATGATTTCAGTACTACTACTACTACTATGTTTTCATCAAATTCGCTGTTTTTTCTTCCTCTTTACTCATAAGCAACGTAGAATCTGGCATGCATGTTTATTGGTTCAAGTTGCCATACCATATCAGTACAGTCGTCAAGACGAATTCCATAGTAGTAGCAGTATCAAGAGTATCAGTTGGAGTAGAAAATATTGAGTATAGACAATATAACTTGATAAGAAAGAACCAGTTCATTGAATAGGAAAGTATGAGATAATTTTTAAATTCAAAGTAAATACATCTGGATCATTCTGACCGTTCCTAATATGAACAAAAACATCCCAGAATAAATATTAAATAATTTTATGGTAATTGGCTCTAGATAGCCCAACAGTACCCTGACTAATTACATCCAATAGACAGTACAACAGCAAACCTTCACGTTGTGTAAAAACAGCGGGAGTTTATAAATATAAATTTTATAAGAGTTATTTCATGTATTCTATATGTTACAACTGTTGTATTTTGAGGCTTAATAATAATATAGTTACTGATTACTAGGAATATGTTGATAATTCTAAAGTAGTCGGTTTACTGAAATCAAGTTGCATAACCATGATAAGGCAACAGTTGAAACAGTGTGTGGTTTAAATGGTTTATATATATACTTATTAGTAACCGTTCTCTGTTTAACCTAGTAACATTTGTTTTTCTCCCTACAGTAAATAAACAAAATAGTTTTCAATGTTTACAATAAAATAATATTCGTTTTTATTCATTATTACAATATTTATAATATCTAGATTGAATATTAAACACTGTAATACTATCTTAATAAATTGGTATAAATATCACGTTCTCAATCGTAAACAGTATAGTCTAAGAACTTACTTTTCAACCAGTAAACCAATCAATGTATACACATCGTTCCACCTACTTTGTTTTGGGTGTTAGCTTTACGTAAGAATAAAATGAAACTCAAAATCAACTATATTTTATTCTCAATCTGATCAATTTGTGTTGCGTAATTTATGTTGTCTTTTGAATTAGCTTGATATACTGGATATATATTACTACTATCTTACGAGATAATATTTTTAAAAAAATTAGAATACGTTAACGTATTTGGTTTCATTTGTAGTTTTTCCTCTCAAAAAGTAACTTTGTTCAAGACTGTCCAGCTTACGTTTCTATTACTTTTTTATATTTGATTTTTCGAAGTAGATGTTTTTTGTTACATAAATGATAGATAATTAATGAAGTATTGTTTAATTGTATGTTAAAGAACTATCTCTGACTTGATGGGATTATTTAATGTTTCTTTACACGCATGGTTTATTGGTTACATAATCATTGTGCGTGTGTGTGTTTCATGAAACTCTGCTTTCTAACTAAATGTTTATTGCAATTTAGGATTCGAATGCTACAACTGGCGTTATATCTACACCAAGTAATAACACTTCGACATCAACAACAGTTAGTAATTCAAATAGTGATCTACCAACTGCCAGTTCTCCTGTTCGTTCACATTCTGTCATAACAAATGCGTTTCAAAGTCAGAATTCTTCCACAAATACTAGTTCATCCATTGTACCTGGTTATGCTACATTGTAAGTAGTGTGAAAGGTATTTTTATACGTTATTTTTTTTAAGTGATTATATTTTTGTACATTTTGCTATTACAGAATTTAAAATGATCTTAACATGTCTCTGGTCGCCTTGGTTTTTATTAAGTCAATAAATATCCGTCGACGAAGATCCTAAAAACCTAAAAAGAAAACTGAAAACTTTTGGCCCCCAAATGCCCTGGTACGGCCGAGAGTGGGGAGAGTCCGCTCTCCCTCTCGAAATACTCTCACACGGCCACGCGTATATAGCCTCTGCCAGGGAAGTCCTACTCACTGCCTTCTCGTGGCGGGGGTGTTGTTTACGAAAATGAGAGGACGAAAAGCGAATGTCCGGCGCTATAACCGGATCCCAATTCAATGGTGCACATGGGCTCCAGTATCCTGAAGGAACAAATGGCGTATGAACCAACTTTCGGTCACCGGCTTCCATGGAACTGCATCTCCTCACGATGCTCCACTGCCTTGTGGGTTAGACCCTTAGGTCAAAGGCTCGGGGTGTGGCCCCCTAAGAAAACCACCTGCTTCGGTTTGGGCACCCGGGCAGTATCACAGCCCTTACACAAATCAATTGAGTTTCGTGTGGCGCATATGTATTTGGTGCCTCCCTGTACCTATACTTATGTGTTAAAATAAATAAATAAATAAATATTTTGACCAATCATCATCGAATAGATACTTTTCATAAACATCTAGAAAACAACAATCTATTTGGTTGATTACTCGTGATTTTGCTATATTTAGTATGTTTCCAGAAGTTTCTAGCATACCAAGGTCATCCGTGAACCTATGAATAATCCCGTTTTTCTGAACATAGATTAACCTTAGAATATACTTTTTAATTATATGCATGCCTTTTCTTAGTTTAAAAGTAAGCTGGAAATATAAGAAATGTCTACGAAGTCATTAACAAGCGTCCAAGTAAAAAAATTTATCAAATTGATTCACAGTTAAGATGTTTTCTCCCTCTCTACTCATTTCAATGTTCTCCAAGGAAAGTGATGAGTCGGAAAGCAGTGAAAATAAAACGCTTAGAATTTTCTTCATTTATCATAAACTTAATACGTAAATTGATGAGTAGCGCTTTGTTGGTCATGACGATATTGGATTTATAACCTCATACAAATCCAATTCAATTTGCGACACCATATTAACACAACTAACTGAGATTAATAAGGTAAATGCTAGTAGAAGCAGAAATGGTATCGTATCAGCAACTGTCAAAACGTCTAGACATAGAAGTTATAGTGTGGGGATAAAATATGAGTTCGTGGAATAAAAGCAATTATAAGATAGTTTACAAACTTGGGATCTAAGGGAAAACAGTATGTGAGTGCGCCTTGGATATTGCGAATGGTTCTGAGCTGTTTCACTCAAAGTCTTCAGCTACTGATCCTGATTAGCGCATGAACACTAACCAAATAATCTGCATTTATTTACATAGCTCAGACTTAGTGGACGAATACCACTTTTTAGTTTCACCGGCCCTTCTTTTCTTCCAACCTACTTCTGCAACAGAGAACATCACCTGGCGATGTCTACAGGGATTGGACATGTGTAAAACACGTCCCAATCATCTCAGTTGATGATGATTTGCTTCTTTATTGAATAATTCGCCATCTTTACCTGGTTCTCTACTTTGCTTACTTTTTGATCTCAGCATACTCAATCAATCACAAAGTTTAATAGCAACAATTACAATTACTCTACCTAAGTGATTTGATTTTAACTCTTGGCATAAATTTCAAGTGGATTTATAAGACACTGTGCTGATAGTGAAGATTTATAAATCAAGTGCATGCTTATAGTGGTAGTGTTGCTTTCTGTGAACTGAATGATTCACTTGTTATCACATAGTAGTAAAATAAATTAGATTAACGAAATTTCCAATATTTTGAATCAAGGAAATTTTAAACAACAGAGAATTCATAAAAATATCTTGACTTATTTGCAATCAGTAGGTTCATCAATATAAATCCAATATATCCAATCATACAGAATAATAGTCCAGTCAATCATAATATATTCAGTGGTGGTCAATCGAATAAAACAGTCAGCAAGAACATAAAAGTGTATCAAATCAACCATACATGTGATAACAGTTCACTAATAAATTTATCCAATTAAAATTATATGTAGCGCTTGTAAAATAATTTTGAAATTCCATTCTTACTTTAAGTGTAAACGGCAATGTTCTTCAGAATGACAATCGAAATTTGATAATTATATTAATGATAACTAGTTTTGGAGACGGGTGGTAGAAAGTTGGAGGCGGTTAAACCAAAACATGTCATCAATCCTTGTTGCTTCGGGACTGGCCTGCGTCAACAGCTGAACTAAGGATTTGGAGTGAAGTAGTTGAACGCGTTGACAACTTCACTTATCTTGGAACTCTGATCAACCCTAATGGGTTGGTGTCTAACGAAATCTTCAACTTACACCACCTATGGCGAGGGCGAGATATCCGTTTATCAATAAAAGGACGAGTATACTGTGCAGCAGTTCGTTCTGTCCTACTTTACGGCAGCGAAACGTAGCCAATAAGAGTAGAAGATACTCACAAGCTACCAGTACTTGATCACAGATGCCTTAGAAATATTGTTCGCATCTGCTGGGATCACCGGGTAAGTAATAGTGAGGTTAGACGCAGTGTATTAGGGAATGATGGTAAATCAGTTGATGAGGGGCGGCCAAATCAAAACTTGGCATCAGTCATTGTAGTCACTAACTTTTGGTCTGAGCCATATGGTTAGATGCAGACTACTTGGTTTGGGTCCGCGCTACTGTCGTAACCAATGGTTGGAGACTGTGTGACAGAATCGATCACGATGGCGTCGGTGTATACACTCTTCGTATTCGCTTAAAGCGTGAAATTAAAATTACTTCATACCTTTCTACGAACTAGTTCTTCCTTCCTGTATTATATCTTCATACACAATCTTTCTGTTATATATTAGTACCACTGAAGTAACCACGTCTATGGATTTGATGTTGATCTTGTTGTGCTAATGCGGTATGGCAACTTGGACCGATGCATATATCTACCTGGTCCTGAGTTTTATATATATATATATATATATTGTTTATTGAAATACCTATTTGTTTGATGAAATAAAAGTATAAATTATTATTATACATTTACTATTTCCAGACGAAAAGTTTCCAGTCCATCTCTGGATTCAACAACAAATAATTCTCTATCCAACTCTTGTTTAACTAATAATTCCAATATTGGGAGTACAACAGTAAATCGAGCTGATTTAGAAGCATTTAAACGTGAATTAATATCGGAATTTCGTCGAGAAGTTCAACAATTAAAAAATGACGTAATCGAAGGTGATCATGACATTTCAATTTTTTTCTTTGGAGTGATGTATAGCTTAAAGTTAATTACTATTCAGGAATTTGCATTTTCGATTGAATAATATCTTTAGAATAATAGCTAATTAGTTATTATTTATTATTTGACAGAAATGATTTATCATTAAGTTCAATATCAAATTAGTGTACATAAAGTTTCTTTAGTTATTTATTCAAATATCATTCACTTGTCCTAATCGTTAATACTTATGATCACGCCATTTTTATACACCGTGTCATTAGTGAGTTGTAGAGGTAGTCATCGAAAAGAAGCCGTGATCAATTTAGTTACGACATATCGGGTGTAAGATAATTATCCACCACAAGCAATGGAAGATGATCATACAATATCTCCAAATGGTTGAAATCAAACATGGGTCGTGCCTAACTCGGGAGCACGAGGATCTTCGGTTTGATCTCCTTTGAAGTCGTGGATGTACACTGTTCAGAGGAAATGCTTTCTAGTTTTCAATAATGGTCTAAATAAGATCAATGTGTGATATAATCCATGAAAATGTCCTATACGTTAAAACTGTACATCATTACTATTGATCTAATCATTGGTTTTTACGTATTTTTATTCTGCTTTCGTTTTTCATTTAGCTCTTCGTGCATCTTCTATTCGAAATTGCTAGTTGAACTATAATGAACCACTGATTGATGATGATCTTCAATATCTTGGTCGGTTAAATGAAATATTTGTTCGCTCACCTTACTTCTCTCTCTTTTTGTTTTCTTTTCTACATTTTTACTGTCCTTTCTCCATATTTAATCGAAGAATAAAGAATATTATTAATACAAATAAACAATGCTCACCAAACATTCCATAATGTTGATAATGAATAGTCTGTTGAAATTGTTTTTTGGAGTAAATCATCTTAATGTTCTGTTTATTTATATGGATACATTATATTATTGTCTATTATTATTATTGTTATTAATAATAATAATATTATTATAATTTTTACCAGCCAACATATTCTGCCTCTGTTAAAACGTCATTTTGGTAATGATAGACAAAGTTGATTCGGCGTTGTTGTTGCCCTGATTTCTGGGCTACGTACATATTTGTGTGTGTAAGTCTGTGAGTATATTTGTGCAACTGACTTATATTCAAACGACGCACTGCCCGTATTGCTACAATTTACTCTGACATATGCATTTCGTTTTTTCCCCATTTCTTATTGTTTAATGTAGAGTTGTTTGCTTTACTTTTTTGTGTCTCTGTTGATTGCACCTAAAAAAGTGTATGTATTTTACGATGATAATAATGATTATAACAACATTTCAAGAGGGAACTGTTAAAATAGTTAAGAATTATTCATTTAAAAATATGCTTCATATTTTGTTCGTTCTTTATTTGACTTCATTAAAGTCAATGCTTACATTTTACTCTCTATCTATTTGTCATTTTCTTATATATATATATATATATATATATATATATATATATATATATATATATATATATATATATATATATAAATTGCCTAAACTCGTATATATTGTTGTTTTATGATCTATGTACACACTAACCTCCAGCCACATTTTACGTATTCTCACTTACTAAGTTTTCATAATTTGTAATGTAATTAAATAGACCAATGCTTTTTATAAATTTGTCTATGTACAAATCTGCACTTGGTGTGTGTACGCGTGCTTTTGTAATGTTTCCGTTTGAATGAGACAACAGGATAAATATTTTTGCTGAGTTTTTCTTTCATTTTGTTACTATTTCTTTCTCTTTTGTTTATAGTATTTCGGGTAGTTGGATAATAAACAACAAACTGTTAATTTCATTATATTTATTTCAAACTATAAGCATTTCATTTACCTCTCCTATTGTCTATCAACTGTAGTGATTCTTATCTTTTAGATTGTTAAAGACCGGTTTACAGATATACAGTATTGTATTAACTGCCACCATAGTCATGGTTATCATCATTATTATATTTAATACTTTTCGCAAAACCAAAAGACATTGCGTTTATTACAGCTTACGATTATTATTTCGCTAAGAGAATGAATACCCTTTTCTAGGTTGTTCTTCCTATCATCATAAATTATCAATTTGATATATGATTTAGTGTGTTTGTGCGTCTACAAGTGAATTATTTATTCTAAAACTTTATTATAATAACAACGTTATAATTACCATAGTCCTTTGTTTTTGCTTTTTCTTTTCGATGAGTAGCTCCCGACTTTTTCTTTTCTTCTTAATATTTTGCTTCCCGGATATTATTGTTTTCTATAAAATTAAAATTATGTTGCATTTCATTACAAATTTATGGCTTAACAACATATTTTGATGAGATTTCTCTTTATCTCTATTAAAATGTGTATAAGTCTTTGTTACTTATCATTATTGCCACCATCGGTATTATTTTATCGTTTAATACTTCATATATATATATATATATATATATATCATTATCCTACTGGTGGATTTTCATTGTTTTTTTAAAAATCATATTCCTAACATCATATAGAAGGAGACTTCAACTCGTTGTGTTCTTTTTTTGTTTGTTTTTTCATTTGAATAAACGAAGTTGTAGCAACAAAACACATTGTGCTGTTTAATAGGATTTTAACTGAAGAAAATTGGGGAACGATGACTAGTAAATGTATTTGTTCACAGCAAAACAAGTTCATATTATGGTTACTCCTTTTTATATGTAGTTCCTCGATAAAATACATAAGAGTATTTCATAGATTCAATGGTCTATATTTCATCAAAGTATGGATTGTGTTTTATCAATTATATCATGAATTTACCTGTCTTAATGTTCCATTGATTGTTCAAACATAAAACTGTCTGATTTACTTTTTGTACAGTAGGAAGATAATTATAATTTCAGTTAGTAAAAATGTAATCAACTTCGACGTCTCACAACTTTCACACTACCCTATGTACTTCGGCCGGTATAAATCATTTAATGGTGTTCTACTGAACAGTTTTAGTGTCGTTTACACACATTTGTCTGACTTCAGAGAGCGTTCATTTATGAACCCACATTTGCATTAAACTGAACAAAGAGTGTAGTAACCTAAATGCTAACCTATCCATGAAAGTTCTTTCTTAGATAGTGTTATAACTGTGGAAGGTGGTTCTTGATAATTGAACACTTCAATTCACATGACACAGAAGACAAAGACCAATGTCATAAGTATTTTATACACCCTCCAAAAATAGGATAATTAATCTAACCAAGTACCTCCATTTATATACTAATTTTACTGACATTTTAATTATTAGATAACAAATTTGAGCGGAACATCATGAATTCATTTTATTTCGTTTGGTTCTAATCAGCTACTTACAACCTTTAATATTTGAAAATCACTATTACAAATTGAGTTCACAATGCGTACATAAAGAAATTAAGTTGGAAGTTGCGATGATCACGCGGGTTACCATATTAGGGATGTAGATAAGTTTAATAGACTAAAACATTGTAGGTATACATGTTATAACGGTTAGGTCCCCACGTTTACACGAATGGGACGTAAATTTACCTTAGATGGAAATCTACACCAGATTCCTTTCCAGTGTCTATTCTTCAGGACTTCATCACTACTCAGATCAAGAACGTGATTAGCCTGACTAGAACGTAAATAAGATTGCTAATCTAGAAGAAAGTGGAAATGAAAAGACGTAATAATTTGGTCATTCGAAAGAATGATTTTAACAAAATCTAAGGAAGAACATTCGTGCTTTCTTCACGAGAATAAAAGGTGCCATGTGTATGGAATACCTCATGTTCAAAATACAAGAAACGTTTGAGGAGATTTTACATTGAATTAGTGTAAAACCCGTACTGCATTTTATACTGATCGAAATTCATACTAAATTAATATGAAGAATGCTAAATTGCACAAATTCCATTCTGAAGTCAAATGAATGTTATGCCAAATAATTATGACGCTGAATTAGAGATGGATAAAATACTGAACACAAATCACGCTGAATTAAAACGTGGTTGTACCCCGTTTTTTAAAATGGTTTTCTATCGACCATTATAATACTGCCCATGATAGATATGTAGTTTAATCTTTACGGAAATAATACTATACCAAATTCATGTTCTTTAATAAGGTCTCATATTGTTAATTTGTTATAGGCACAATATATTTTATAGTTGTAACCATATTCTGTTAAATTGTAAGAGGAATCTTTGACACATAGCAGGACTCACTGTAAAAAAGCTAGAGAACTGTTGAAAACAAAGTAACACTGTATAGCTGTTCAATTCTGGTTTGGAATTCATCTGATATATAAATGAGCTATTTATACAGGACTGAACCCAGTTAGGGTGTTTAAGTTCAGCCTAAAACATGACACCTGTTTAGTCAACTATGCTATGAGTGAAATGATAGCCACAACATACCATAAGTTGACTGAAGTTGGTCAGTGTTTCTATCCATAATTGCCTAAAACCACAATGGTCATAACAGGACTTAATGAAACAGACCTTAATCCCACATAGCGATATAAGTTCGCGCTTATTGTTAAAGAGTCCTGAATCACAATGTTGAATTCTTTCTGATTTTTCGTAACTCTCAATCTAATATCATTTCGTATGGAAATTTATTTTCGATTCATTATCTATTTATCATATAGTTGCTTAACGATTCACATGGCTTTCAGTGGTATTTTGTCTAACTTATCTAAACTATTATTCATTCTGTTGTATTTTACGGAAAACATATCTAGTTAAAAATGAAAGAACAAATATCTTTCTAGACTTATTTTCTTATCTGATTATTTCCGCATGATAAAACAAAAAAAATCCAAAGTTTGAAATGTCATTTTTCCCATTATAAACAAGTATTTTGATAAGCATTGAAATAAGCTTGAATACCTTATTGTTGGCTTGGTTTGATTTGGTTAAAAAAATACAACTTAAAAATTAGGTTTAATTTAGTAATACTTTAAATAATACGATAATGTTAGTTTCTAAGATACTTCTTTGTAACCAATCTGTCAGACATTTTGATTAATAATCAAGTTGATGTCAGTTTTTTGTTTGTTTTTTTCTAAAAAAAGAAATGTCATCTAAAGTTGAAATAAAGCGGGAAGAGTTCGTGGATTAGTTAATGTAACTATGTACATTTAGCTACCTGCTTTTTATTTGTATGATGGTTAAATATTATACTCTGTCATTTAAGTGAAATCTGAACGCAGTTAATCGACTGATAATATATAATAAGAAGTTCAATATTAAGAACACGTGTACAATCACAAATATAATAAATATTACAGTCACATAACATACCAGGGTAAAAGCAATACGACAAAAGCTGACGGCCTGCTTGAACATCTGGCCTACCTGTTCCTGCTATCAAGATATTTCAACAAGTTATCTATTTTTGTGCGTTTCTGAAAACTGAAAAACCTTTCGTTGTACAAGGTGCAAAAAGCCGAATTACAATATCGTGATTGTTGGCAGTATGCAACGAAAAGAATGTACATTATTTCGTTGTCGATTTACTGGGCTGTTAACATCTAACTGGCGATCAATCACTATTTATCGTCAGTATCGACCAAGAAGTAAAAAATGGAAACATGTTAACATACTTTGTGCTGAGAATTCTACATTGTACTAAAAGTATAATTCTGAATAAAGCTAACAAT